CCGCGCGGGAACGGGAGGGGCGGCGCTGGCGCTGACTGTGCCGATTTGTTGCTCAACAAAGTTGCGGTATTTGAGCAAATCTCATTAGGGATGATGACGCAGCAGCTTGGAGAAAGGAGCTTGATTTGCTTCGGTTTTGATTCGATTTGATTTTTCTTATTATAGGTTTTATTATTCTTTTTTTTAAAAAAAAATATTTTCTTTTCCTTTGTTGTGTTTTAGTCCCACAGAATCACAGAAGCAGAATATCCTGAGTTGGAAGGGCCCCACAGGTAACATCAGTCCGGCTCCTGGCCGGGCACAGGGCACCCCACAGCGCTCACCCTGTGCCAGAGCATTGTCCAAGCCCTTCCTGAGCTCTGCCAGACCCGGTGCTCTGAGCACTGCCCTGAGCAGCCTGCTCCAGTGCCCAGCCACCCTCTGGGTGTAAAACCTTTTCCTGATATCCAACCTAACCTTCATTATCTAGCTGGTTTATTTTTCTTGTTTTGTAATTTATTTTATTTTTACTTTATACTATTTTACTTTTTTTAGAAGAGTTTTTTTATATATTTATATATTTATTTTATTTATTTATTTATAAATATCTGATCATGATAGAGCTGAAAAATGAATTTACATGTGCTCTTCCCAGTTCCCTACATCAGTTGGCCACCTAAACTAAATAAAAGAGAGGGATTATTCCTGGGGCTGGGATTGGTGGCAATAAAACACTTTTGCTGTATACATTCCTTAGCTGAAGTTATGCCATATACTGTTGCTGCTGCTGCTACTGCTCCTTTGGAGCTGATGATGGGTTTGCATTTGAGAAAGCCTGGGGGGCATTATTTTGTTGTTCTTTTTTAGTTAATTTATTTTAATTTTCTATTTATATTTTTATTTACATTTTAATTTTTATTTATATTTGAATTTTTATTTAAATTATTTTTTGTTGGTTTGGGATTCTTTTCTGTTTAATTAATTCAATTTTTTCTATTTATATCACTTTGTCTCAGCAAATAGCTTTCCTCTTGGATGTCCCCCAGACCATCATGGATACAACCTTTCTTAAAGTGCATTTTATGATGAAAATGAACCAATTAAGGTGCATTAAATGTGGCTTCCAGGACAGATTTTAAGTTTTTTGTTCAAACAAGCTCTGTGTTCTCCCTGCCATGCACGTCTCCAGGAATTCCAGGGGGCTTTTTTGCCCTAAAAGACAAACTCCCCTAAATACCACTGGAATTCAGCAGAAATAGCATGGCCATTTCTTTCTTGCTGGATGGAAATGATTCCCAGGCCAGGTCTGCAGGTGAAAAGATGAGAAAGAAGAACACCAGCTGCAGATATGAACTGCCAGAGCAGTTGTTCAGTCGCTGGCTCCAATTCCTGTCACCAAGGTCCCCCCTAGGCCGCTGCTCAGGGCTCCTGGGAGCTCCCCAGCTCTTGAGCAAGAGCCCAGCGAAATCAGCCACTTCTCTTGCGAAACATTTCTGTCATTTTAGGTCACAAGTGCTGCCGGGGCCGC